CTCCGCTGGCCCGTATTTTTTGAAGTTGACACAGATAAGTTTGCAGTTCGTAACAAGGTATAACCAGGAAAAAAAAAGAGGCGAGAATAAATGATTTAACGTTTAAGGACATTCGAAGAGCAAAATGCATGCACCGCAAATTTTGTTGCCCTAGGATTTGGGTGAAGTAACGGAAATTAGATAAATCTTATGCAACCAACAGCACCGATAATTTTTATTCAAAGTTACTTCTGTAATCGTGGAGAGAGAGAGATGCGATTTTTGATTCTCTCGTGTGAACTTTGTCCTCAAAGCACCTGCGGCAAGCCACAAGCTCAAATACGAGACGATTTTAAAGGCTCAAATATGAGATGAATTTAAAAAATAAGCACATCGGGGACGAAATTACACGGTAAGCTACCAGTTACCAAAATCCATTTGGTAAAAAAAGCTGTGCATATGTGTTATAGTGAAATTTATTTTAATATTTTAAAATTTATGAAAATGTACGTTTCGAAAAACAAACCTGGTTAACCACCACATCAGAAAGGGCTGCGTGAATGCTATAAAAAGTAATAAATATATTTTACGCTTTCGTCCACCCTCTTCAGTGTACGAGCTCTGCACATCCAGAATGAATGTCTTCACGGTACGTAGCTTAAAAAAAAAAAAAAGAAAATATGACAGAAATTAGCCCAAGCTGCTTTGGCATGAAATTATGAAAAATCAATTTGGCTGGTGAAATGCAACACATCGATTTCAATGTCCCTGCTATTATTTAAGCTGTGCTGAATTTACTGAAAGACAAGTTCAAAAAAAAAGAAAGACATACCAAAAAGAAAACAACAGCAAAAGATGTATATGCTAAGACCCAATAATAGGTAATTTTACCACCTACAATAAAAGCCAACAAGCTAATATTCATCCTGAAAAAAAAAAGAAAGAAAAACTAACGTTCAACAGCGAGGAAGTAACGGCAAAAATTCACAGTAACACACATCTATTCGTATATTTTTATTTTTTTTTTTTACGCATCTCGCAACCATACTTTGCAAATTCTACCAATACATTACCCAGGCGTTGTCAGAAGTTTGCCTTTACTAAGAAGATCGAATGCGATACAGCGAAGCATACACAAGTCCTGAGTGCCAGTTCTGCCAGGTATTCTAACAGCAATTTCCAACAAAAATAAATTAACAATCTTCCATACATTAAGCTTCAGTGTGAATCTTACTTTCAGCTTCTCAACAGCAGTTGTTCAGATTGTCACATAATATGTTAAATAATAATTTATGGTTCTTTTGTTAGAAATGGTGTAAAGAACAACTGCGTCACTATGATGCAATACCTCGGTCCTCGGTTTAACCTTTGGGTGCCTTACCACGTCAAAGTT